CGCCGCAGATCGTGCAGGTCTTGAGAGTGTCGAGTTTTTTGCCCCTCGCTCGGGCCATGCGATTCTCATACTCCAACTTCTTCTCCTGCCACGACATGACTTGGTGCGCGTCCTTGCGACGGGGGCGTCGCCAACAAAAGCTCGGCTGATCGTGAGATGCCGCCTCCCCGGATGCGTCCGTGCACGCGCTCGAGAGAAGCGAGAGTACATAGCGGGGAACCCAGTATCGCTCGCGCATGAGCGCCGCCCGCGACGACCGAAACCTTACCCCCCCCCCGCACCCGAACTACTTCGGCCAGAACACCTCGAAGGCGAGGCCGTTGTCCCGGAGCGACGCGCGGACGGAGCCCTGCTGGATGCAGAAGTTGATGGCTTCGTGCCAGTGCTTGTTGATGACGCGCCAGCCCGCCGTGCGGAGGAGCCGGATGACCTTCTTCACGAGGAAGGGCGGGTCCTGCTTCATCGACATGAGCGTCATCGCGAGGATGAGGTCGCGCTGCATCTTCTGCTCGCGCGACAGCTCGAGCAGCAGCGCGCGCCTGTGCCGAAACCAAATATTCAACCCGACTTCAATGTGAGCGTATTCGAATGGTTCGACACCAGCTCTTCGGCTGGGCTTCGAGAACTCGACGAGAGCGATCGATCCGTCCAAAAGTCAGCCGAATCGACTTCGATTTGACCGAGCTAGAGAATTCTCAAGTTTGGTCAGGACCACCCAAACCAGTGGTTGGTTTCGGCACAGGCGCGCGCTCCTCCTCGGACATGCCCGGCTCGGGCAGGCCCGGCGGACCGATCTTGTAGGTGTCGCCGAAGATGAACTGGCTGTACTTGTCGATGAACATGCCCGCGTCGCCCGCGGACGTGAAGCCGCGGAACCTGCGGCGGAGATCAACGCGCGCGGCGTCGCCCCTCGTCGCTCGAGGGGTTCGCTTCTAGTTTGAAGTCCCGCGGCGAGCTCGAGAGGAATTGGCTCGTCCAAAAATCGGCTTCGATTCGACCGAGCAGTCCGCGCCGCGCTCCTGGGAGCAGCGGCCGAAGTTTTGAAGTCCCGCGGCGAGCTCGAGAGGAATTGGCTCGTCCAAAAATCGGCTTCGATTCGACCGAGCAGTCCGCGCCGCGCTC